TTCTTCATAGTTATATAAACATATAATCAATCTGTGGTGTAATCGTCTAGCATATTTGGCCCATTTGCTTAGGATGTTCTGGAACACAATATGTCAAGATGTTAAAATTATAATGAGACAACCAAGGAAATAGAGACTTGGAGAAATCAACCTGTCTAAACAGCAGGTTGGTCTATTTATTTTTAATAGACCAAAATCCACTGATAGTTTTGGCTCTTAAGAGAACGTGTTTTTCTAAGTTATCATTTCCTATCCCTTAAACCTAACCTCATTACTTATGTATCAACAATCTACAGTTAAAGATATTCAGAGTACATGGATGAGAGAGAGGAAGAAGGGAAAACTCTGTCTTTTGTAGAATTTGTCACCAACTTCTATATATTAAAATGTTGTGTGGAAAGGTGGGCTGGCCCATAAGGGAATTACAAGTGTGGACTCTTGATTTTTGGCTTAAGAGTCAACTGAAAGATAGATTTGAGAGTGTCCTCAACTGGAGGGAACACCCTTTGGGGGAGGAAGCACATTAAATTCTTGGTGGGGGAATATGAAGTTTGGGAAAAGTCTATGAGTGTATTTGACACCTCCTCTCCCCACATTGTATTGTGGATCTAATAAAAACCTCTCATTTTACACATGTGAAAAAATGTTAAAGTAACTTTCCCAACATTTCACCAATAGATTATTTGGAACACTACTAAAATCCAAGACCTTAACTTCTATTCACACACTATGGATTAAAAAATAAGTTATGTTCACATAGCGTCTGCCTTCAGTAGGCCTTTTTATGTGTCTACCCTATGTAATTATATTGTTAACCTGCTTGATCAAACATTCTTGGGAAGGCCTTAGTATCCCAAATTCAGGTAATAATGGAGCAAGAGAGATTCACACAAATTTTCACATTTCTTTACTCCATGATATGCATTCATAGAAGTCCAAACAATTCTTATTAATGGCCCCATCACATTTTGTGAGTATTTATATTCCTCCACTAGGCACAGCTCACTTATTTATTGAATTTTGCCTCTTTACTATGTGCTCCATAAAGATATCCACTATGTAGATATAAAACAAGCTTATTATTACTACTACTAAAAATAACAAGTATTGATTATTACAAAGGAGACATTCTTTTATATATATTTTAGAAAGGAAAGGGGAGGGGGAGAGAAAGAGAGAGAAGCATAAATGATGAGAGAGAATCATTAGTCAGCTGCCTCCTGCACGCCCCCCACTAGGAATTGAGTCCACAATCTGGTCATGTGCCTTGACCAGGAATGAAACCAAGACCTCCTGATTCATAGGTTGATGTTCAATCACTGAGCCACATTGGCTGGACAGTTCTTTTATTTTTTTCTTAATCCTCTCCTGAGGATGTGTTTTCATTGACTTTTAGAGAGTGAGGAAGAAAGAGAGAGAGAAACACTGATGTGAGAGAGAGGCATTGATAGGCTCCTACCTTACATGCCCCAACTGGTGATCAAACCTGAAACCTAAGTATGTGCCCTGACCAGGAATAGAATCTGAAACCTTTTGGTGTATGGGATGACACTCCAACCAACTGAGCCACCTGGCCAGGGCAAAGGAGACATTCTTTACTATTAACATTGCTTGGAATAAATTTTCATATTTAGAGATAATAAATGAAAATTTAATAATAACTTCAAATTCAAAAGGCTTAACCTGACATGTGAATTACATTTATTTATTGGACTTAAGTGTCATAAAAGGAAAATAAAATTGCCCTGTGACTTCTTGCATTCTGATTTGCATAATTCTTGCAAATCATGATAGTGATCTGAAGTGAATCTGTATCTGTCACCTAATAGCCTTCCTGTGAATTAGGCGGTGTACACTATTTTACAAATGTGATTACCGAAGCCCAGAGCATTTTATGGCAGCAAGCACATGCTTGAGCTCAGCTTGAAACTGGTCATCCGACACCAGCCCAATGCACTTTACCCACCCTGTGGGAACTAGATGTCAGAATTTGATTTAAACAAGAAAACTGAGCTTAGAGATTGATGACCTAAGTGTATTTTTTGTGGTAACTTTGTCAATACTCAAACAGCACTTCAGAGTTTAGAGATGCCTTAATAATAGATCAGCTAAATAAAGGTTACTCTAAAAAGCTTATAAATCACAAAAAGAGAATTCTTAGCACAAATACTGAATTAAATATTTTATTCTAGTTACTTCATAAGTGTTAGGCTCATTGATATGATGTAATCATATTAGTTGATGACATGTCTTAAACCCAGTTAAACAGATACAAAATGAAAAATGCCAGAGGCAGCTTCTTATAGAAGGGGCATGCATGGGCAGCAGGGTCTGCCTTGTTCTTGCTGCAATTCCAGCCATGGTCCTTTTTATAGGGTAACTTTTAGGCAAGTTGCTTACCCTTTCTCAATCTCAGTTTTCTCTCCTGTAGAATGGGCATAATAATACTTACAACCGTATTTGTGGTAGCAACTAGTGATAATGTAATGGGTCCAAAACAACCTGTGGCATATTTAGTAGCTCAATAAATCACAGCTGTGGTTTTCATTATTATCAACTGTTATTAGTATGTCTTTAGTCTCTTCAATAAATGGTATTGGGGAATATTGGACAGATACGTGCAAAAAACCGAAACTAGACCACCAACTTACACCATACACAAAAATAAACTCAAAACGGATAAAGGACTTAAACGTAAAATAGGAAACCATAAAAATCTTAGAAGAATCTATAGGCAGCAAAATATCAGACATATGTTGTAGCAATATCTTTACCGATACAGCTCCTGGGACAATTGAAACAAAGAAGAAAATAAACAAGTGGGATTATATCAAAATAAAAACCTTCTGCACAGCAAAAGAAACCATCAACAAAACAAGAAAGCCCATTGCATGGGAGAACATATTTACCAATGTTATATCTGATAAGGGTTTCATCTCCAAAATTTATAGGGAACTCATACAACTTAACAAAAGGAAGATAAACAATCCAATCAAAAAATGGGCAAAGGAACTAAATAGACACCTTTTGAAAGAGGACATAAGGAAGGCCAAGAGACATATGAACACACTAGAGGCCCGGTGCACAGATTCGTGCACTGGTGGGGTCCCTCAGCCTGGCCTGTACCCTCTCACAATCTAGGACCCCTTGGGGGAATGTGGGACTGTTGGTTTTAACCCAGTGCCCACAGGCTGTAGGGATATAGTAGAGCCCCAGGGAGGAGCCTGGGTCAGGCACTGTCCTGCTCCCGCTCATCCTGGCCCTGCTGTGTGTGCCTCCTCTGCCGTTCGGTAGTGCTGCTGTGAAGGCAGGAGAGGCTCCCGCCGCCGCTGCAGCTGTGCTTGCCAGCTATGAGCCCGGAATCTGGAGCCTATTGGTCAGCTGAGCAGTGCTCCATTTGTGGGAGCACACTGACCACCAGGGGGCAGCTCCTGCATTAAGCATCTGCCCCCTGGTGGTCAGTGCACATCACAGCTACCCGCCGGTTGTCTGGTCACTTAGGCTTTTACATATATAGATGCTCAAAGTCACTAATCATCTGAGAGATGCAAATTAAAATAACAATGAGGTGCCATCTCACACCTGTCAGAATGGCTATCATCAACAAATCAACACATGACAAACGCTAGTGAGAATGTGAAGAAAAAGGAAGCCTTGTACACTGCTGGTGGGAATGCAGACTGGTGCAGCCCCTCCAGTCGGAGAAAGATAAATATCACATGATCTCACTCATTTGTGGAATATAATGAAGAACATAAGCTGATGAACAAATATAGCCAGAGAATAGAAGCACTGAACAGACTGTCCAACCTCAGAGGGAAGGCAGGGGAGGGGGTAGGCAAAATATCAACCTAAGGACTTGTATGCATTCATATAAGCAGAACGCATGTACACAGACAATGGGTGAAGGTATGTCCTGGGGCGGGGGTGGGGGGGTAGGGACATTGGAACAGCCTGGGAGAGGTCAATGGGGGAAAACGGAGACATATATACTTTAAATAATAAAGAATTAAATAAAAAGTAAAGATAAGGTGTTTTATTAGAATCACCTTCTCCCCTTTTAGCACTAATAAGTTCTTGTTATTACTGGAAGGAAGCAGTATTGCTGGTTACTAGTAAAAGGAAGCACTTCATTCTTTCTAAAAGACCAATTAGAGTAAATTTATAGGAGTTACAACAAAAGAATAGGTTAGCTAGAGATGAAGTTCTTATGTAAAAAGAAGTGCCTGGCAAATGGCTTAGAATGTCAAACCTCTGTGTTCCTTGTTTCATTTCTTTGTACCTCCATTTCTGATATAACAAGAAAGGCCTCTAAGGTCTATCCTATACAACTCATATTCTGGGGTTCTGTGAAATGCCCTAGAGAAAATCTTCACCACTAGCTGATGGTCTAAGAGGGGAGACAAGTGAATAAGCCTTTCTATACCTTGACTTGTGATCTCACAGGTGTCCAACATGTATCACTCTTATTGTCTGTGAGTCTGGAGGAGATGAGTGGAGACCACTTCTGCCTCTGGGTTAGGAGGGTTCTCAGATGTGCCCCTGTAAGGCCCGAGAGGCAAGCTGCTGAGGAAGCTTGTGTCAAAAACCTAGTCCTTAGAGTAATACAAAAAGCAAGGATAGACCCTGGCCAGGTAGCTCAGTTGGTTAGAACAATGTACTAATACAGCAAGGTTGCAGGTTTGATCCCTGCTCAGGGCACATACAAGAATCAACTGGTGAGTACATGGATAGCTGGAGCAGCAAATCTCTCTCCCTCTCTCTCTCTCATCTCTAAAATTAGTAAATAAAAATTTCAAAAAGCAAAGGATAATTTCTTATGCCTTAATAAGAGTAGAAATTACACATCTAGTTTTATGCAGCACTGCACCAAAGAAATTCTCAAAGCTTTCTTCTATACTTGTAACTATAGTGATCAACACATTGATAACATACATGCTAGCTAGTATATATTGCAGCATATAATACATAGACCATAACATTGTTTTCTTTATCTGCAGCAAAACCAAGGCAAAGGCCCAGCCCAGAATTGCTCAGTAGAAGCCCCTGCTTGGATGCCTGTCCACCACTGTACTGTAAGTTTGATTGTCTGATTATTCCAAGACCGGCCAGGTTGAAGAGGAATTATTTATATATTTTGATATAACCTTAGTGAAATGGGCTAGAATATGCTCTGACATTCTAGAATGGAGTGAATGCTTTGAAAGGAGAGTGTCTTCTCACAAATCTCTGCATTATAAGAAAGAAATACCTTTGATTACAGAGTCTATGCATTTTTTTGGAGTTGGGATAACTTGCAAAGGATTTATCTAAATGGGTTATCAATGATTTAGACTTGGAGAGTTATTAAAATTAGTATATTTGCGTGTATATTTTTCTCAATAGCTGCACATTCAGTAATACTTGATTTTAGATATCTTCGGATAGGATGTTTACCCTTTTGTCATTGTTGTGCTGACTGTTTAATAGCGATGAGTACATGGATTGACAATTTTCAAGTCTTCCTGGTACAATAATAGTGTCTGAATTTGTTTGAACTCTTCCAGCAAAGATTTTTCAAGTGCTTTAGAAACAAACAGGTATTATGTCATTATTTCTGTGTTACAAGTGGGAGATTTAAATGCAAAGGAAACAAGAACAGTGACTCAATTATATAGCTGGGAATGGATCCCAGAACCCCCAATTCTCCTTCATAAACTCCTCCTACTACACCGTGCTCATAAGTTAGTGAAGAAAGTGGCTGATTTGTATTATATTCTCTTATATGTGTGCTGCCTGATAGAAATGACAATAGATCACTTGGGAATTACTTGTACTGTCACCGACAGTTTGCCTGTCATGAAATAATTTTTGTGTGATGGGAATAAGAAAATGGAAAGTTACTTTTTTGGACACTCCCCTCATTTGACTCACCTCACAGGCAATGTGATGTGATATGTGGGGCTTCATAAATATCCTCATTTATTTTTGAGGTACAAGATGTTCAAAGGTGCAGTGGACTAACGTAGTGGGGCCTATGGCCATGTGAGGGGCAGCAGGACTGGGATGCCTACTTTATACTCGGATTGTGTGAATGGAATGTTTCCGTTTATCTGTGGAATGAAGAAAAGGTGGGGTTACCTTTAAAGAAGGAGAGATGATGATGTCAAATTTTAGAGGCATTCCGTCAGTGTGGAGGTAGCCCAGGCTTGGAGACTTGGAGGAAAAAAAAATCATAACTTTTGTGAGCAGATGGTCTGAGGGGAGTGCATGCTTAGGGACTCTGCTGATGCCAGAGAAAGGATGAGTGTTAATAATTCTATTTCTGCATCAATCACTTTGTTCACTATATCTCTGATATTATCTCACAAGTACTGATTTGTATGTCTGTTTCTCCAAGGAGACCATGTGCTCGTCAGGGCCCTATTATACGTATGTTTGGGTAAGTCCCTGTACATAATAGGAGCTCTGTCCATGCAGGTTCAATGAATGAATCTTTAATCTGTTGATTACCTTTTTACTACATTTTAGTAAGTTATTTCTTGGTGCAGAGGAATAACTATGCTATTTTACCTTTTTAAATGGATGGTTTCCATTTCTTACCTTCAAGGGTCCTTTCATACTTTATTCTTCACGGTATACCATTGAATACGTATTTTGAGGAATTTTGTTTTCAAACTAGGTACATTTAGTAATTCAGTTCAGCTGTATAAGGTTCTATGCCACTGCTGAAGCAGCAAAGAGGAATAAGATAGTGGTACCATTTTATCAAACACATCCAGGTGTCATACCAATAAGAATATCTGATTCGTAGCTGCAGTGATAATTTCCCTTCCAAATAAAAGAAATTTGGCACTTCAGTTACTTTGTCTAGTCTTATTACAAGCCTATCCATTTTTAGAATTCTGTCTTTTGAATTCTGTAATATGAATATGAATAATTCTGTCTTCTTCATATTACTTTGGAGCTGGATCCTTTAGGACCTGGGAGTCCCAGTTAGTTTTTCCTCTTTTGGGACACGGAGTACTAAACAGATGCCTATATTTAAGACCCTTGCTGAAGGTGACAAGTCCGAAATGCTGACACTGAAGTCTGATGCTCAGTTGTGTGGTCAGGTGAGAGCATCAGGAACTAGGTGTCTTTTCTTGCTTCCGCTCTTGTCTGGGAGCTGCTGGTTGTATAGTTTTCCTTTGCCATTTTCTTACTAGTAATTACATGTCCAATGGGGCAAACACGTTCTGGAGAGGTTGCATAACCACGAGGATTGTGCTTTCTCCGTAACTCGGAGACACAGGCAAGGCTCCCAGTGGCCATGTTGAGGTTATGGATCTGCCTCTGGCCTTGACTGACTGCTCCAGGGGTAGACTGACTGATCCCAGCTGGGCCAGTGGGATTGTTTCTCCTGGGAATTTGAAATTTATACTAGAGATATACCAAATTGGAAGTCATTAGTATTGAATCACAGTTTGGGGAAATTCTGTGACCCTCCGTTGTTGAGATCTTGGGAGCTGCCCTATTTCCACCCTTCTGAGGTTTTGTTTACTCAAATCTCTCTTTGGTTTTGTAAAAAGGTCACAATAACCTGCTGATAATCAATAAGTTACTTTTTGTTGTTTTATCCAGATTTTATTTTGTTTTTGTTTTTTTGAGGGCGTTTAATATTCTTTGATTTATTGGCAACCAAAGAGAAAAGAAAAAACCCTTATCTAATATCCGTAGTCAGCAACATATATGGAACTCCCACTAGAGCTAATTTAATGAGTAGTTGTCCCAGGCAGAAAAAACACTGGGAACACTGGGATTTTGATAATTTATAACAGTGTATTTTTTTCCAAATATTTGATTATATACAATGCTTAGGTACATAAAAATGACAAAATGAATAATTTAATAATGACTTAACCCACATAATAGAATGAAAATTATGTATAGGTAGCTACATAGTTAGCATAAGCATATTTATGCAGCAAAAAGCAACATATGATATATAAAGTAGTTCTGGTATTGAGTCAATTATTTCTTCTCTCAGGAAATGGAGAATATCTTAGCCTCATGTGGTTAAGAGAAGGTCTTGTCTATCTCAAATTTTCCATGGACTGAAGCTGGTTATAAATAAATTAATGCATGCTTACATTCATAATAAATGGATAGACTTTGTTATCTTTGTGCATTTTTCAAGTTCAGTTGCTTTTATCCCCTTTATTTCTTTCCTCAGTGCCCTATTCTTGTTCCTTGGTGTTATGTTCCAAAATGATTGTATCTTTAATTGAGCTTTATTACTTTTTCAAAGAAGGCTTGGTCTTTGTGTGTGCATTTGCCCTAGGTTCATTTTAAGTGCAGAGCTTTTATGGTTGGTTTTCCTGAGAAGGCTCTCTCTTCCAAATTGCTTTGCAAATGCTTGTCACCAGTTAAATAATGCCTTGGAAATGGCTTCTATAACTATTTGCTCAGTCTCCTCTGGATGCTTCTCTTTTTTTTGACACTCCATATCTCTATAATAATGAGACCAAGAGGTATTTTTAAAGACTTTTCCTTTTAGCCAGAATTATAATGCACAGATCAGGGCTCAAACTGAAGAGAAATTTTGCCCCCAGTAACTCTACATAATATTACTTCCTAACTAGTTATAAATGAAATGTTTTCCCTAGTGAGAACTGTGACAGTTTTAGTAATTATTGATCTTTCCTTCTATGGCTATTGAAGACCTAGAATGATACCTTTCCTCACTTCTACAGTAAATTAAATAGGACTGTATGCCTCATTAGTTTATATGACCATGAATATGAACATAGTGGTTACTGGAACTCCTGCCAGTTGTAAACAAATGAGAAGAGACCCATAGGTTCTGGGTCTCAGGTGAAGACAGGCAGGTCTCTGAATCTGGAGTGAACTAGGTTAAGAGTTAGTTCCCGGAAATAAACAACCTTAGACTTGACCTGCTGCAGGAAGCTTGAGTGGCTGCTGCATTTCAGGGTCTGTCTCTAGAACACTTGGTATGGCTCTGGATTGTACATGGATTTGATCCCTTGGAGTAACGCCCCAAATATAATCCTTAGTTACCAGGCAGTACTTAGAAATGGCTGTCATGTGTTATTTTGTTATTTACATATGTGATACATACATACACATGATTTTTTAAAATAATTGCTTTGTTTCCCTGTATGTGTACACACCCTTCAGTGGCTGGGAATTAGAAAAATAATTCTCTGAGAAGAGTTTCTAAAAGCTAAGTTGAAAATAAACTCCCTGTGCTGATGAAGCTTGTCATGATATGGTTTTACCTACATATCTCTGTTGTTACATAAGATTCACCCATAAGTAATCTGTGAAATATTTTGAAAATCATGTAAGCTTCAGCGAAATAGAACACCGCATTCTGAATACATCGACTCTCATTTACTCATTCTAGAAATATTTACCGAGCACATTTTGTAAGTTATAACTGACACTTGGATTGATCAAGGTATACAGGAAAAAATACTGGTTGATATATGCTTTAATGATGGTCTATACAAGAAACTATACATTTTCAGAATGTAGAGTTGCCTCAAGATGGATTTTTGAAGACAAAAGATGCAATATTAGGTAATAGTTAAGTAGGTAAGCTGTAGAATTGAATAAGATTTGCTTAAATAGGTGAACTCTGCCACTGACTCACTGTATGAACTTGCACAGTTTATTTAATCTCTCTGAGTTTATGCATGCAGTGGGGTATTTTGAGATTTACATGAGATAATTCATAGCCCGTGTTAACATAGCATCTGAAGGCAGCAATTGCTTGATAAGTGGTAAGAGGAAAGAAAGAAAAAAGATTATTCCAGAAGGAACTGGATGGGGCATGATGAATTGGTGAGGGAGAGCATAAAACACACACACACACACACACACTAACTCGTTAATTTATAGCCATTTATTTAGGAGGGTTCTTTCTTCAGAAAGGAATTCAGGCTGGGATTGGAAACATTTAAAACTCTTGAAAAGAAAGATTTTGCTGTGACAGGCAGGAGGGAACTGATGATAGAAGAATATCATATTAACAAGAGATGTTTGTATTCTGAGTAACATGAGGCCATTTTGGAGGAATGAGCCTGGCTGG